AACAAAGCAATGACTGGGATCAAGATGCTTAGAAGATTCATGTCTCCTAATTAAAAGGGCAAACAAAAATCCAAACAGCCAAATAAAAGAACCATTTCTCTTGGAACAAAACTCTAGGGCAGCAGGTACTTCAAAGAATACCCCTTTCACCTCGTAGCTCATGGAGGCTAAACAGATTTACAATCAAGTCATCCTAGACATCCTAGAGTCACGTCAAAGCTGAGACATCCAGAATACAGAGATTGACACTTGCAAGAGACAGGAATGAGGATACCTCATATAGGTATCTTCTGATAATTGTCACCCCTCCTAAAGAGGTGTCCATATGAACAAAATCAAAAATCAAGAAGATCATCAAGTATACTGACACAAGAACGAACATAATATGCAGGATTTCAACAAGAGCAGTATACAGAATTTGAACAAGAGCAAGAGTCAGAACAAGAACGTTTTCAAGGACAACTCAAACTAGATTTCAAGAATAGTGCAAGAATCAATTTCAGACAAAAATCAAGATAATGAGGATTTCGATAATCATTATCCATTTCCGGATTTCAATTTCAAGAACAAGTACAAGCAATATCAAGAAAGATTCAAGATGATTCAAGAGTTTCAAGCAATTTCCAAATATCAAGAATGTAGAGATTGGCAACAATAGAGTTTAACTTATGACAGCTTGCCAATCTTCACAAAAAAACGACAATTTCAATTGAATGATCACTGCTCTTGATTAACCAATATAGAAAAATGAGCCACATGAAAAGACCATGAAGCTCCAAATGGAAAAAGTGAAACTTCACTATAAGACTTTCAGAAGATAAGGAGCAACAGAATTACCAAGTTATCCAGCTCCTAAAGCGCATATAGAAAACACACAACATTTGCTCAAATAGCCTTGAATCTCTTACAAAGTCGAGGGTTTACCCATCCTCCACTGGTCATGTGACAAACAAAACAAATTTCTCAACCAGCTATGTGGTAGAGACCAACAGAATCAATAACAAAAGTCTCTGCAACTCCCCAGATTTCACAATGGTGGCAAAAGAGTATACAAAAATTCTATTCACGTAACAAGCCTAAACAAGTGCGGACTATCAGAAAATGACCAAGTTTCAAAACAAGGTCTTAAGAACATAACGGGCAAGATCACTTTCACAACTTCATACAAAGTATGAAGGCAAGAAACAAGAACAATCAAATCACCATCTCATCGAAATGGATGAGAAGAATTCAGGCAACATGAATCAGAATCGTCCCTTATATAACCCCATCACTTATCTCACCACGATTCTACAATCCACTGGCTAGCCAAGTCCAAAACAAATCCTAGGTATTCAATTAAACCTAGGCTCAATATCACTCAATCTGCTCTAATGCCACTCAATCTAGAGGTGCTTAATTCAAACCTAAGCTCTTATTTTCAACCTAAGCTCTTATACCACTCAATCTCCAGATATCTAATTTAACCTAAGCTCTGATACCACTAAATCTTAATCAAACCCAAGCTCTGATACCACTAAATCTCCAAATATCTAATTTAACCTAAGCTC